TTTGCCACATTCTCCCCCCTCGTATGGCAATACGCAATATGAGGAAAATGTGACAAACCGTTATGAGCTAATTACAACAATCTTCTTGACTGGCCTACGCAGAACCCCCCCTTTCGTGACAACGTCAACAACCCTGACAATACCATCCCGTCCGGGGTAAACGTGTGAGACTCGGCCCTTCGGCCATACCCCTCGCGGTAAGGCATTGTCAGCGATGATGACTATGTCACCGACGCTCACCTCACTCGTCGTGTTTGGGGCAGGTGGTCTTGTGTGGAGCAGCGGCAGCGCTTCCCGGACCCAGCGGGACCAAAAGTGATCTGCCAGTCGTGACGCTTTTTTCCACTCATCTCTGCCTATCAAGGCGTAATCGTCGAGCGCAGGGTTAGGGCAATTTGTGGGCGACGAACTGCCAATCAAGAAATGGAAAGGCGTGAGTGCCTCCTGGTCCTCAGCACATACGCTGACATGCGCCAATGGCCGAGAATTAATTATGGCCTCGACCTCCGCAAGCAACGTTTGAAACGTCTCTTCCTTTGGCGCCTTCTGTTGTAGGACTACACGCAGGGCGGTTTTGGTCGAGCGTACCAAACGCTCCCAGCATCCTCCAAAAAACGGTGCAGCAGGAGGGATAAATTTCCATTTTATACCATTGGTTGCTGTAAACTCTTCAACGTTGTTTTCAAAGAACGCTTTAAGCTCTTTACTCGCACCGACGAACGCTGTGCCGTTGTCTGAGATGATCGTCGAAGGTGACCCTCTCCGCGCGATAAAACGTCGTAAGCTCATGATCGCCGAGTCGGAAGAAAGGCTGTGTACAACTTCGAGATGGATCGCTCTCACCGTCAGACATGTATATAAGGCGACGTATCGTTTTTCCCTTCGTCGGCCAATAGTTACTTCGAGAGGGCCGAAGTAGTCAAGGCCAACATGTGTGAAAGGCCTTTGATGGTGTGCGAGACTCCACAGAAAGCGTAAGGCGTCGCGGTCCTGGTTTCTTATTCTGACTTGGGGAAACATCTCTTTAATGTCCGCGGTCATAGCTATGCGACCTTCCCTAAATCTGAATAGGATCCCTAAAAGTGATTGTAAGAGATCAGGCCCCGGAAGTAACAAAGTGTTCAGGCTGACTCCACATGTTTTAGCGGCCGCGTCATGCACTACACGGAGCTTTTTCTTCTGTGGGTGATAAACTCCAAAATGTGGAAGGTACCACCGAGGTGAGGACTCCGAAGTATACACGACACCCCTAGAAGTGTTGCTAGTATGGTACGTGACGGCGGCGCACTCTTCTGCGTAGCCTTTACTAATTATGTCCGCTATGTAATTTTTATACGACTCTGCGAAAGCGTTGTCCTTAGTCATGCGCTTCTCTAGGCCCTTTAAACGAGATTCCGCTTGATAGTAGCTGTCGGGCACGGTAATGCTTTCGTCGCGCCATGGCAAACCTACAGTGAATCGACCCTCTGGTGAACGTTCAGCAGTGGCTTTAAGTATGTCTACCGCGCGTTGTTCGTCTAAGCTATACGTATTGTCGTGCCTTGTTATACCTACAGAGTCAAGTTTATACTGTTCCTTGATAAGTTCTTCTAAAGCGTTATGTTGTGCAAACTCGTTATTAGGGTTGGTGCACAATGTATGGTTAATAAAGGTTGTAGGTTTTGTTCGACTACCTATGGAACCATATAATGTCCAACCTAGAGCTGTTAAGCAAGCAACCGGTTCCGAGCGGTGGCCCTTACGGACCTCGCGAGTGATAGACAAGTACCAATCTTCTGCACCTATAAGAATAGTAGGCATCGCATCAGTATGCGTGATCATGTCGGCAAGCTCTGACAGGTGATGGAATTTTGTGATATCTGACGGCTCTATAGTTTGCGTATGTAACGTCAAAGAATCAATTGCTCGAGCGTTTTTGATTTTAAAAGATTCAGTTGTGTACCTGCCCTTAATATAGAAATCTACATATGATATAGTACTAGTCCTGTTTAAACCACCTACAGCGTTAATTTTAATTGTGTCAGAAGGGCCAGTACTCCCAAAAAATGTTGAGGACAGTGAGGGATCAGAGGTAAAGGAGTGAAAAATATAAGAAAATATCCAAGTAAATTATTCGCGTTTAATTTCGAGACGTTGCTTACAAGACAGCTATCAAAAAACAGGTTTATTCTTAAAAAAAATATAAAAAAAGTATAAAAGGCAAAGAGGTTCGGTTTGCCACACAAAGAACTCTCCCACGGATTCCACAAGGTCCTCACAAGGAGGTCCTGCGTGGCCCGATTCCAGGTCGATCCACCTTGTCTTGCATACTACTAATTTTCTTTCATGTCCCTGATTAATCGTAGGATATAATAAGGCAGCCTAGAAAGTACAGTGCAACTATACACAAACGTCATAATTATTACTGTTAAGAAAATAATACGCCAGCATGCTGCGTCTCGTCTGTTGGTGTACCTAAGTATATAATTTTACATATATCTTACTTATTCAATTATACATATACCTATGTTGGTTTACTCGTAATCCTAGTATTAGGTACACAACCCACTCGGCTATAATTTCCATTTTAAATTATAAGCTGACCAACCAATAAAGTAGGTAAACATTAAAAAACAAAACCATGTGTTTCAAATAATTACGTTATTACTTTGCACGCACAACAATAAATGTCAATCGTGATGGTTGTTTAATTTTCTGTAGTCGGAGCTGCTTACCTAGCTGAAAAAGAAATTCAGCACATTAATTTAAAAGCAAGTGTATGTTAGGGTATTTATATAAATATACTTCTAAATATACCTTTGAATTGTTACAGAGTATAATAACTACACAAAATCTTAATTCAGATACTTTTCTCCGAACCAAGATAAATATAAAGCGCCTGAAAATTTTCCTTGGCAAATATTTTCCGACGGCTTTCGGTAAGTTTGCTGTACTTATTATTAAAGTGAAACCGAAAACATTTCATTTTATCAGTTTAAGAAATGTTATTTCTTATAAGTATTGTTGAAAATTCGTACTTATTTCTTATTTATTTACTTAAAAGATCACCAACAAGATTAGATACACCACAAACTAGATTACGAGTATGTACAGTCGCAGAATGAAAAGGTTCGTCACCTTAGGCCTAATTCACACGAGAGCTTTTTTAACGTCCGTTAAAAAAGCGTTCAAATAGAACATATGCATACCCAAGTACGTGTTCACACGTCGGCGCTTTTAAAACGCGACGCTTTTTTATCGAGCAGTGTTGCATTTTCAACGCAGAGCGTTGGGAATAGNACATATGCATACCCAAGTACGTGTTCACACGTCGGCGCTTTTAAAACGCGACGCTTTTTTATCGAGCAGTGTTGCATTTTCAACGCAGAGCGTTGGGAATAGGCTTGGGTATGCATATTATGTTCTATTTGAACGCTTTTTTAACGGACGTTAAAAAAGCTCTCGTGTGAATTAGGCCTTAGTGTCGGTTTTCGCTTGCACTAGGTACTGTGAGAGTCAAACCTGCCAACATAACAGTGCAAGAAACAGTGCTGCTAACATTAAATAAATATGACGTTTGCTAACGAATAAGGTTTTGCTTGTTTATTTTTTTATCCCATCGTGCAATGCAATGATGACATTGACCAATTGACAATAGTTTTTTTTTATTAAAAAAAAAAAAAATGGCATTTTGAACCAACAAGAAGGTTTTAGTTTATCAATTATAATAATCTTCTTGACAAGATTAATCTTCAAACAACTTTGATCTGAATAATTTTGAACTTTACTGACGAACAGATAAAGATTATTTTCTCTAACTCGAGATTATTCTGTAACATAGTTTCAAAAGGTAATATGTGCTCGCGATTCGTTGAAGGAATCAATTTGAAAACTGACGAACCTTTTCATTCCGTGACTGTACAATAACATTTAGTTACATGCTAAGAGCAAACTTAATTATTGTTAACCCGTAAACAAACAAGGTTTTGCTAAGATAGTTTTCAATCAATACGTTTAACTGTAATTGGATCGTACCTAGTCACATAAAATTACGTTCACATGTCGTTTTCCCCATTGTTTTGTTATCTTCAAACTGTATATTACAGTTCAAAGCAAACCTATTTTAAGCATCTACACTGATTGTAATACTTAGGGCTGATTTTTCAATCGTCGGATAACTTTTAACTGAAGAATAAGTTTAGCACATGACAGTTTCAGTATGGGAAATATGTCAATATGACAAGTTTATTCTTCAGATAAAAGATAACTGACGATTGAAAAATCAGCCCTTAGATGAGGTAAGTGTTTTAGCCTAGTGCACTGGTTTCCACGCTGTCACAGCTAGGCAAATAAATAACAAAACAATAACGTGTCATTTACACGTTATGACAAACATATCAAACCTTTTAATGATGAATGATTGATGAAGCAGGGAACGGCACCGAATCTATACCGTGCTACATCAGTCATCCTGTTATTTGACGTTAGGTCAAACACCATCCGTCTTCTTAATTGTGGCTTTGGAATCTGTTGAACCACCATAACTTTGAAAATATCGATATAGATTCAAACACGAATATATAAGAATTATTAAATTTGAAACTAATATGTATACGAACTGCTTTTCATCACATTATTATTGCGAACTTCTCCCCCACCTGCGTTTCTATAGAAACGAGATAGTCCGCTTATTGTGTGTTGATACTTATTTCTTTAATTGGGTATATGAATCAATATTACAATATGTATTCTTACAGTAAAGTTTTTTTTTGTAATAATGATACATTTGTGCGTTTATGTTAAGTTAATAACAATGTAATTAGGCCTTCACAAAAAACATACAATACATAATTACACCACATGTTTTTTAAAAATCTAGCAATATTTTTTTCTCTTTAATTATTTTCCTGGCGCATAAAAAACAATTGCCAAACGTAGCTCTGCCATGTTGTGTATAGATGGCAGCAGATTCGAATCATGAAATCTTTCTTTACACTATGGCGGCAGTTCGCGCCACAGATTTGGTTTCAGAAATAGAACACTCATTGCAGCGAGCCGCCATGTTAATTTTAGTCAGGGAAGCGCGAGTTGCGGCCAGTATCATCGGCTGGACTTCGTAAACAAGCAAGGTAATTTTATAATTAATTTTAAAGCCTGTTCAATTAAATATTAAAATTACAATATTCTATCTATGTCACTTAAAAAGTAATATAATGCGCGTTTGTTGCCTCAGTAACAGTACCGGTAAGTAACCTTTATTTTTGGGACCGATACATATAGGTAATAAGTTAATAACCTATTTTCCTCTCATAAAGTTAATTGCCTAAAAAATAAAGCTAACAGCTGTCACTAAATGTGTTTTAACAATTACGTGCCTTAGCTTTCTCGTGTTTCCCATTTTCTTGTGTTTAACATAAAAATTTGGTTTAAATCAAATTATAGCTGGTTTTCGTTGAATTTATAAGTCGCTCCGTAAACTTACACGATGTGTAGTGTTCCTCAGAGATCGAAACCATTTTCATAATGTAGGTTGGAGAACTAAACGACTCTCATGGGGAGCGTGGAGTTTACAATCTCCTTTCAATAATCGTCGTATACCTTCCTATGTATCGAAAGGTCTCACTGACTGACTCATTCACTCACTCATCGCGAAAACTCAGAAACTACAAGTGTTAGGAGTCTCAAATTTTGCATGGGGGTTCCTATTAAAATTAGATCATTAAGATGGGATTTTGTAAAATTCAACCGCTAAGGGGGTAAAACGGGATCCACGCGTACGAAGTCGTGAGCGGCCGCTTTAGTATTTTATGTAAAAGTTTTTGAGGATGGATGAATGTTTGTTACTCCATAACGCTGAATCGATCTAGTTTAAGACCTAGGAAAAAGAATAGATGTATCCCAATTATTGGAAATCAACACGGGCGCGAAGAAATTTTGTTACAGAGCGAAATTAACACGGGGAAAGCCGCAAGCAAAAGCTAGTAGACAATATTCCAGCTTTTATTATATCTTTTTCCGTAATTTATCTGTACAATTATGTAATTTTGTGACATAAATTACGTGATAGATAACTGCGCCGTAATGATAGGCTCCTGTTGCGATAATTTTCCAATGAAATTGATGATTATGGATTGATACTTATTACAAATACGTAGGTACTGTTATTTTGATACCTTATCAAAAACATCACATTTTTAGACTTTTTTAGGAAAACCATGCTTTCTATTTTATGCCACAATTCGCATGGATTCAAAGTTCTCAGTAATTTTACTTAAATAGCCCATTAGAATATAATATTTGTGACTAGCCTGCTACTATCCAAGTATCGGATAAGAAATCGCAAGTAGATGCCTAGGTATTTCTTATTCTTGAATCGCAAGTAGATACCTAGATATTTCTTATACTTTAATCGCAAGTAGATACCTAGGTATTTCTTATTCTTGAATCGCAAGTAAAGACCTAGGTATTTCTTATTCTTGAATCGCAAATAGAGACCTAGGTATTTCTTATACTTGAATCGCAAGTAGATACCTAGGTATTTCTTATACTTGAATCGCAAGTAGATACCTAGGTATTTCTTATTCTTGAATCTCAAGTAGAGACCTAGGTATTTCTTATTCTTGAATCGCAAATAGAGACCTAGGTATTTCTTATTCTTGAATCGCAAGTAGATACCTAGGTATAATATTTTACAAAATTGTGCAAAACTTTCGTGGGAATTGACACTCGATACCTTTATAGAACGAAAACTCCGCGTAATGCGACTAGCCTGTACTTAGGATCTAATTGCACCATACTCTATTAGTTAATGTATTGTTAACTTGATATGTTACTTAACGGCTATTAATATTTTGTCGAGTGTCCCACCTCTTACCCGAAAACATTGGGGGATTAGAGAATACGATATAATCTAGTTTAAAAAGTTGCGAATTTAGGTATTAAATAACATGTCCAAAACTAGAAATTTGATTTGCTGGCTTGAAAAAAATATTTCATGACTAATTCATCATTCAATTAACGTTTGTTTTCGAAAATTTCTAGCACATTCTTCCATTGAGACGTAAAAAGATTTGAAAAACCCTTAAATAGGGTGTTATGTTACGATAACAATCGATTAGTTAATGACTAAGGCCCAGTTTTTTGATTCATGGTTAAAATAACTAATTGTTAAATTTTACTACTAATGGTTAAATATTAACAAAATGTAAACAAATAGTTAAAAAATGTACTAAAAGACAAGCTAACCATTGTTCGAGAAACATATTTTTCTGATATTTAACCACTAGTCATTTGACATCTGTCAAATTTGACTATTGGTTATTTACTACGAATCAAAAAACTGGGCCTAAGTGATACAGTATGTTTAAATTAAAACTTTACCTGTGTTTTTGTACTGGATAAATATTTTAACGACTTCCGAGTGTACCGACGACGGCAAATCTAGCGGTATAATATAGAGTTGGGATAAGGTGCTAAATCGCAACAAAAATGTGTAGTCCAATGTGCGGTTTCCTGTACATTGTTTTGAGAAACCAGCCATGAGGCGCAATTTGACATTTACGAGTGCACTGGAAACATTCTGCTCGATAAAATTAGAATCACAATAGGTTAATGCCGTCTAAAAAACAACAACTTGTCGCCGCCGATCTTGTAGTCCATCGATCAACTTGTACTTGAATATTATTACAATACCTATTTCTTTTTGGAGAGTTAGAAATTGAGCTCTCTTTTTATTGCAAAGGACTGATGAAATCGTCACAAGGAATTTGGTGGTATGTGACTTTATTTGACATAATGTTTTTAAGCACTCTAACTTATAGCTCGCGCCAAATATGTCCAATTTTCAACCGACTTCAAAAAAGGAGGAGGTTCTCAATTCGACCCGTATGTTTTTTTTTTTTTTTTTTTTCTATGTTTGTTACGCGATAACTCCGCCAATTATGAACCGATTTAAACAAATCTTTTTTCGGCGTATAGGTAATACCTCATAACATTTAGGGTTGGTTGCACCATCTTCTTTAACTTTGACAAACGTCAAAAATCTGTCAAACTCTATACAAAAAGCACCGGTTATCGTCATAGTAACTATCAAAGTAAATAAGTAGTTTAGAAGTTACGAGGGAACACATGAACATACATACATACATACATAGCCTGTCAAACTCATAACCCTCCTTTTGCTTTGCCGTAGTCGGGTAAATAGTGCAACCCACCCTTAATTTCATGTCAACAATCGCCGTGTAATATAGTACTCGTATTTAATTTTGAATTAGTATTTCATGCTATTTCATGTCATTCCTGTATTCTCGAATAGGTACCGAAGTTTTCAAAAAGGTCTTTTTTACTCATTTTACTTTAAAAAATTAAAAGTAAAAGTTTAACCATGTTATTTGCATTGCGACTTGAATCATTTGAACTTCGTTACTTCTACTCCAGTGTTTTGTCGGGAGATTGAAAAATAACGAAACAATTAACTAGTTCAAATAATAACGGTAATTGGAGTTGTGCCGGGTAACGAGCGCAGGCAGCTGAGTAAATGCCGTCCAACTGAGAAAATTAAGACTCCCCGCAGACCATCGACTTTTAATTGGCCGATAGTTGGGTCATCTTTCAATTTTAAAACCGGTGTAGTGCGCCCACTTTCATACTTGTTTAAACTGATTAACAGCCCGACCCAAATATCAGCCGAATAAAAGTTTGTAGTCTGCGGGAAGCGTTTTTCTGACCTTACTCAGTTTTGTTTTGAAAAGTGTTTTGCTGACCTTTCGCTGCCTCTGGAAGCGAACAAACTAATTGATTTATTTACACGCCTTGATTTCATTTCAATGTTGAATTAGAATATTATTCTGCTGTGCGGTTTCTTACTACGATTATAAGATTGGAAACTTTTTAAATATTGTCTTTATATCGACTTATGCATCTGACGCGTTTGTAAATGGCATTATTAAAAGTAAATCTATATTAATTTTGACGATGTAATACTGTTTTATGACTGACGTATTAACTAAGTAAACATGGCCGATGGGGCAGCCAAGTTCTGGAATGGAGGCCTCGAACCGGCAAGTGCAGCGCTGGACTTCCATCCATAGGGACACACGACATCATAAAGGTAGCAGGAAAGCCTGCAAGCAGACCGCTACCATCCAGCCAATCTAGAAATTGGGGGAACCCTATGTTCAAATGTTACCTCACCCTAAAAATAAATACCCACACAATTTTAATTTTGCTTTCTATTTTCCAGAAAATGTCGCGGGTCTACGAAGATGTCGACCCGGGCTTCGCGGCGACCTGCAGCGACATCACCCTTTACTCCAAAACCAAAGGGTTCTTCAAGAACTTTGCTGATGACATCGTGTCCATCGCCGAGAATGACAACTGGCTGGACAGCTTCGAAAAGGTCGAGGATGGGAAGAAGGTCGCAGCCGTCATGGAGAACAAGGAGGTAACAGCATGTTTTACATTCTTTCTTTATTTATTTTTATGCAGAACAAGACCGCAATTAGCTTTCACATTTAGGCGATTTAGCAGCGCGACAAACGCGCGACAGATGCGCTGCTGAAAATTTTATACTATTTGACAGCGGATGCATGCCTTCACATTATAAAAACGCCGCTGCCGCGCTGCTGTCGCGCTTCTAACGCCCTAATGTGAAAGCGCTCGAGCGCTCTTAGACGCTAAACCTATCATAGTACTTAGGTAAGTACTAAGATAGGTCTAGAGTTTAAGAGCGCTCAACTCAACCAGTGCCTGAGATATGGGAGCTGCACGAGAGGGTGATTCTGTGATGGTCAAACAAAGAACTAAAATCAAATAAAGAACAAAGCAGGAAAAAACACGGAAAGTCTCAAATTATGACAAATATTTCTTAGGCTATCAACATTTTTCTTACTACGAGTATTTCATTGAAGGTATGAAACTTAATAGAAAATCCTTTACAGAGTAATTTCTTAGGGAAGTTTTCTGATCTAAATTCCGAGTAAATTTCATGAAAATGACAGTTAAGTTGTAACATTATCCTGAACATTGAATATTGGATCAACCGATAGGTAGAACTTTGGAATAATTATTAACATTATTCTCGCTTGCAAAGAGCTATTTAATACTATCAGTACCTTATATATTCTAATATTTATTTTAAGTTTATCATAGTGAGTCTAGATGACAAAATTTCAGTTATTGGTCCGTCAGACAAATAAATTGGAAATTTTTTATTTTATTTTATTTCATTTAAATAGTAACAGTGCTACATCGAGTTGAAATGTCGCGCGACGTCACTTTTGAATAGATTTTTTACTCAAAAGTGACGTCACGCAACATTTCAACTCAATATAATACTGTAATGATTCAATGATATTATCTGTCTGACGGACTTAATACGAGTAGAATTTCTATTTCATTGCCCAGTCATCGTCCCATCGACTATAATGGATTGTGAGTGAAATCACTCTACATCTTTTCACTCTTCATTACATTATTAGCTCAAGCAATCCCCCTGTTTGATCCATCTTAAACGTATTCTCTTTAAGTATTCTCTACCATAAAGAAAAGGGCAACTGCACTTTTATTTTTAGTATTTATGGCAGAGCCTTAACATGTTCGCGATCGCGAAAAAAACAACCACACTCTTGACCTGATTGTCGCGCCGATGCTCCCAGGGCGCAGTAATGAACCCTAAGGCTGAGTCACACTGATGTCTGGTGCTAAAAACTGAGTTAAACTCCTTTTTTTGACGCGGAGGAAATGCTTTGTGCACCGTCACCACAGACTGCGGGGTACAGGGTGGCGTGTGGGACACCCGGCGCCCTGAAAAGGGCACTGCTCCGTCCTGAAAAGGACGGGGTATACCCACTAAAACCTCCGCGGCTATCTGTCGTCACCCGAGTGGGGATGTCCCGCGCGAGTATGCGGCCGTAGCCTAAGGTCTAACTAAAACTATAACGATAACCGGTGTATTTTGTATGGAGGTTGACAGATTTTTGACGTTTGTCAAATTTAAAGTAAGATGGTGCAGCCCAGCATAAGACTTCCGCGAAAAATGAGTTAAACCCTAGTCAAGCTATCCCAGGGTACTCAACTGTGGAGCAGGAACTCATGCGCAGGTTTCAATAAGCTCCATAGGAAAGTATATACAGGGTGTCCCGTAATTCAACGTCAAGCCGGAACTGGGTATTGAGGCAAGTTATGATGGTTATCAAAAAAATAGAAAAAAAAATCTTTGTGGCATTTTGTCAAAATAATAGGCATTTAAAAAAAATCAAAAAATTCTACTCCCGGTGACGGTCTTTTTACTCGTGTTGCCACAAATCTTCACTTTTTCCAAATTTTTTTTTGTTATGTAACCCTGAATATTGTTTCTCTAAATTGTTATCAAAATTACAAAACCAGCTCCAGCTTGGATGAAAAAAATACAATAATCCCAAAAAAAATATCAAAATAAAAATTTTGCCTAGTTTAAACTGACTGTACTGAAAAAAAATTGTACTACGCGAGTTTAGTAAGGATTCCAAAATGATATAACACTTGGTAAATTCTTGCTGTAATTGTCGACGATTTTTGTTTATTGGAAATAATCCCGTTTTTAACTTTATCTACCTTGGTTAAAAATATTATTCTAATGTGCCCAAAATTCAAGTTGCCTCAACACCCAGTTCCGGCTTGACGTTGAATTACGGGACACCCTGTATATACTTTCCTATGGAACTTATTTAAACCCTGGGATAGCTAGGGATAGATTCTTTCCTCACAGAATATCACATGGAGTAAGTAAATAATACTCGTAAATACACGTGTCTGTCTACATCATAGTAGAATCTAAAAGTTGGACGCTTCATGATAAATGTATCAAATTCGTAACCGATAGTAATAATTATTAATCTTTCACATTTCTATCATCTCGCGATTTGTACTGCATTGCCACATGTGCCTCGAATAACGCTGGTTTTGAAAATATTCACCTAAAATGGAAACAGCTCTGGAAGTATCAACAAACTTTTATTCTCAACCTACTTTAATTGCGTTCGTGAAGATAATTACCTTTACATTCAAAATTCAGAAGTAATCACAACAGACAGGTATAGTGTAGTGTTAGCCTTAAAGATCCAGAACAACCTAGCTTCAACCGCCCAGGGGAAATTCAACTGAAGCAGTATCCAATTAAGATCCATTATACGATGCTAGAGCTGGTATTATTCCCGCATCCCGGCATAGGTGACAGAATAAGGCAAACAATTATGTTTACGTCTAACACTATCTGGGCCTCGTTAAGCAAACAACTTGATAAATTACATAACAAAAGTACAAATTAAAACTTTTAATTGAAAGGGTGCTTTCATCTTTACCTTTTAAAGTAGTCTAGTGTAACTGATACTCTATAATTTTGTATTATCGATTCCTGAAACTAAGATAAAATATTATGTAATCGTACTGCAATATAAGCTATCCAAGCAATAAACTATCTGTATCATCCGAGCTATAAATGTTTGAAGTACATTATCAGTTTTAGTCACGAAGTACCTAGCTTACAAGAAAAAACGCAATTTTCTCCCAGGCTTTGGTGGGACGATACCGACATCAAAGTGTTTTTAAGCTGTAAGCCAGCGTGGGCTCGTAGTTTCAAGTCTTACTTGAGACGGGCGATTTTATCAAGTAAAAATCTTGTTTGAAAAATATATAGTAATAAATGCCAATGCCTGCGTCTAAAGAGCTTAATTATGACGTGCTTGCATTAAAACATACTACCTTATTATTCATTTATTATTATCAAAAGCTCTAGTTCTTGCTCTATTTAAACTAAGTCTCGGTTTTGGCTTTCTCTGTTTTTTTTTTAATACCAATTCAAATATTATTTTTATTTGTACAGTTTTAGGTAAATATAGGATCTCAATCTTCATGCCAAAGTAAAGTAAGAAGTAATCTCTGTAATTATTACAGATCATGGAAGCCCTCCAAGAAGTGTTTTCCCGAATCGAGCCCATCCATCGCGGTAAAGACGCGCGAGTGTCGTATGAGCGCCGTGTAGCTGGCCAGGCCGCTCTGAAGGAAGGGGACTTGATGAAGGCCCTGTCTCTTGCCAGCCAAGCTGTGCTGCGTGCTCCGATGACAGGTAAAATGGCGATTTTATGGCCAGCCACGCCGCAAAAACGCTAGTGTAGCGCCCTACAGTAGCGTTTTTTGAGCGTCAGCTAGCGTCTCACGTCAGCAAGTAAAATTTTTGGCACGCGGGTGACATACGACCGCTGCGTGGCTGGCCAGGCCGGCCGCTCTGAAGGAAGGGGACTTGATGAAGGGGCTGTCTCTTGCCAGCCAGGCTGTGCTGCGTGCAGCGATGACAGGTAAAATCGCCCTACACTACTTAGCGTTTTTTGAGCGTCAGCTAGCGTCTCACGTCAGCAAATAAAATTTTTGGCGCGCGGGTATCATACGAGCGCTACGTGGCTGGCTAGACCGCTCTGAAGAAATGATGGTCTTGTCTCTTGCTAGCCAGGTTGATCTACGTACACAGATGACATGTACTAGTAAATTTTTCATTCTTTTTTAACTTATAGACAAATAACTAAGACTCGAAATAATTTCTTAATCATCGCGGCAAAGGCGCCCGACGCTCGAAAAGCGTTATTATGTATCATATGGCAAATAGCGCAATTCTTGATGAGTAAACAAGCTAATTATAATCCTACTAGCTTTCCGCCCGCGGCTTCGCCCGCGTGGAATTTTGTCTGTCACAGAAAAACTTTATCGCGCGCGTCCCTGTTTCAAAAACCGGGATAAAAACTATCCTATGTTCTTTCCCGGGACTCAAACTATCTCTATGCCAAATTTCATCAAAATCGGTTGCGAGGTTTAAGCGGGAAAGCGTAACAGACAGACAGACAGACAGACAGACAGACAGACAGAGTTACTTTCGCATTTATAATATTAGTTGGGATAGTCCACTACGGTGCCTTTTCATAGACACATATTCGCCATTTTACGCTTGATGTAGGTACATAACGCTTGGAGCTTACATCACAGAATACATAATAGTAGCAACAGAAATTGCACTCCCTTGATCAGGATCAGATGCCGACATTTTAACGGTAATAATAATAATGCAAAATTTCCAACGAACCTGGTGCATTCGAAATCGCACCTTACTACTACGCTCACAAGAGCGCAATTTTTTTGTGATCAGAATTGATCTACCTCGCAGCTCAAGCGTCAGGGTTGTTTAAGCAAAGTAAAATAAATAAAAACTTAATTTTAAGAAGCAATTATTGTATTTACGATTAGTAAACGTTAATCTAGTGGCGTTTGTATTTCGTACCATCTCCAAAGTACCTATTAATAAACTTCAGTGTTGCGATAATTCGAAATTGGACAAACAGTTTTAAAAGGTGTAGTGTCGGAAAATAGACACGGTGAAGTAAAGTTAATGTTTTATTAGCTAAAATAATGTTTTTGCTATAGCTTTTTGCCATAAGTATTTCAAATTTATTTAAAAAATGCTGATATTTTTAATTATTTAAATTACTACAGTTAATTGTTATTTCTAAATATTACGATTTTCCATTATAAAGACGAATAACAGTGCTGTTGGAACAATAAACCTTGATTGCGACGATGATCGACCGAGCGAGTATAGGTACGCGTGTGTACCTACACAGGCGCGTGGCGGCCATGACTGATTTGCAACTTGAAGTTGTCGCGCGCTGTAGGTAATTATCTCGGCCGGCATAGGCGAGTGACGGAGGCCTGCTTACATTCAAAACTATAAAACTACTCCGACAGCAAGCCTGAATGCAGCGATACGAACTCGACGTTGACGTTTCCATCAGGGAAATATTTCTGTCAAATTCGTGTTTGAACAGACACAATTTCAGCGCGAAAAACGTGTCGGATACGAACATCCAGTCCCGATTAAAACTAAGCTGCTGCCCTTTGTTTTGAATCAACAAAAGGACAGCCGCTTTTCAATTTTCTTTGTTACATTCTTTTTTTTATTCAGTGTACTCTTAAAATCACTACTATATTAATGTGAATAGCGCCACACATAACAGAATAAAATATAAAGAATAATTCTAAATGATACTCATACACAGTTTCATAAGACTAGCTTAAGAACTACCCACATTCTAAAACCATTTTATAGAAAACGCTTGCCTCTTCTGAAGCCCTGAAAGGCTCTTATAATAAGCTTCTGATGAAGACTTTTGATATAATAACGGAGTATTTTCTTTAAGCCGTCCATTAGACAAAGTAACAATTATATTATAAGCTTTTAATTATCAGTATTAGGCCCACGTCCACGTCTATATTTGTATCAGATCAATATCGTGCGGCTCAAGTCATCACAGTGTATTGCTTTGATGCGTCAATACTCGAATATTCGGCTGCAATATACCGAGCCTATAGGCGTCAGCATACCACACAACATTTTTGTTGCACAATCGCCCCTATCACAACTACATAGGATACATAGGATATCTGAACGTGTAGTGGTGTGTACCTACCAATTAAGTTCAACCACAGGTACAACACACTCTGTGTACAGATTTCTGAATACATCTCCTCGCATTGGGGCGCTCAATCAACCGTGCGTGTGAGTATACCGAAATTCCTTACGTTTACGTCAACTACTAACCCTGGCGCAGTTTGCAGCGCTCATGCAATTGAATAAAAATTGCACCATGTAGACAAAAATCTGATCATCATCATCGTCATAAGCCTTGGCGCAGACAACCAACTTTTAGTTGGCCGATCGTTGGGCCCGATTTTAATCTGAAATCTGATAAAGAATCGGACGATATCAAATCGATGCAATGTGCGCACTTTCATACATTGTCATGTCCATACTGATTAACAGCCCGACCCAACTATCGGCCAACTAAAAGTCGGTGGTCTGCGCCTAGGCTAAAAGTTATCCTACAATGCTTACAGTACGCGAACTTCAAACCACACCGGCACGAATAACTTGAGACCTTATACAGAACTATTTCAAGGTATCACATTTCACTCGTAAATCCTTGCATGAGTGATAGACACAACCATGAATGGTGGCGAATGGCGAAGGTGTCGGACTGACCGATTCAAGATCCGAAGAACGCTGGTTTAAGCCCCGCCAGCGCACCTAACTGTTCTTTGAAGCGCACCGTACCTACATGAGAAATAAATAAATATCCTTGGACATTTACACTGTCCCAAACTAAGCAAAGCTTGTACTATGGGTACTAGACAACGGATATAAACACACTTAAATACGTTTTTTTTTAAATACATACTTATTATACATAGAAAACACCCAGTCCAGTACAAACAAATATGTTCATGCAAATATGTTTGTACTGTGCGGAAATCGAACCCGCTACCTCCGGAATAGTAGTCCGTTTCGAACCACTACACCAAACGGCTGAAAAACTACTACACCATATCGTTTTTATGAGCAGACCCCCACAGAACGTATCGCCTTTACCTATATGCCCCCAATTATTCCGTTATGATAGCTGTCTGTTCGCTGTCAGTAACGAGTTATGGCCTCCAACTAAGGCTAAGAACTCATGGCGCGATTTTGAACTCATGGCGCGGCGGTTGCGGGCTCGCAGCTTCTGTAGAATGCAGATACTTATGTAAAAAAAGGCTATGCGGGTCCCGCGGCACCGCGGGTGACTAATAGAATCGCGCGGACCGCGGTAACCGCAGCCTCGACGGTTTTCTCGGTGGCGGGCGACCATTTTGTACCAGTGAATTAGCGCCGTGAGTTCTTACAATAACCGCGCAAATAACCGCTCCCGTGAGTTTTGAAATAAAACCGCAATTCCACAACCGCCGCGGGTGCGGGTGAAAATCGCGCCGTGAGTTCTTAGCCTAACCGAGCCGAAGCCACTGCCGCTGGGAAAGACGGTTCGGAGTGATTTTCAATTCCTGGAATTGATAAATGAGTTTGCAGCTAGAGCTGAACAACGAAACGAATGTTACTGAATGGGGTCGGGGTGTTTAAGAGCAAAATCATACTACAGAATGCTCATTTATTGAATAGAAAATATTTGTAGAAATTGTTTGTAGGTATTTCGTATGTGCCCGCCTTACAAATAAATAAAAAATGCATAAATTTACAAATAAATAAAAAAATGCAAACACACTGTATAATTAAATAAAAAATATTATGTTGGTTTTTATATAAGGTGTTATTTTTTATACTGATCATACTTTACCAACGCATCTAATAAAATCATACAAATACAACCCAAGTGTTTTTAAAAAAAAATTCAGGCTAGTTTTTGTTTTTACTTTTCCTAACAAAAAAAAGATATTATTTTTACAACCATCCTGTCTTCACTCACTGCCTCTCTCTCTTTCTTAACTCATTTCATTCATACGAGTACGAACAATGGCCGCGCGCGTTCATTCAACGTTCACACACATAAAGGTTAGATTACACTAAGCCTACGTTACCAAAAATTATCACTCGTGAGTATGTACGATGTTACGTCATGTTAATAGGTACTACGCGCTGGGAGAAACAAAATCTAGCCACATAAGTAGGTAAATAAGTGTATTTTCATTAGTGTAATAGCGGGGGACTTTTCCAACGAACCGAGGCGAATCATCCGCGTTAAACTAGAAATTTAAAAAAGGATAGAAATTGGAATTCAATATCTACGGTTTCGTAATGCCTACGCAATTTATTTAGAGACGTAATAAAAAATTGATAGGTACATACCTATTACTACTTCGCTTCGCTTCAGTGGAAATGCACCCTAATATTGAATATGAATAGGTGTTGTAAATAAAACTCACTGATCAATTTTCCTGGTTTTAATTCCTAAATTATGATTTGCCATCACACTTTAGATTCATTGATTTTACTTATTCACACATTTACCTATTTTGAATGTTGTTATTTAAAGTTCCTAGGTTATTATTACACTAATCACAATACATTTTGAACGTCAAGCCTTTGTTGAATGTTCACGTAAACACTGTCTTGCACTGTCTAATCTAGCCACGATCGAATTGAGGTAATGCTTTCGGGCTGCACACTTGCTTGCTGTTCACTAGACACCACGTCGGATGTTGTATTCACAATTCGCGCACTAACTTTTTTACGGAAAAAGTCCCTTTCGCGTA